AGTTATGGACAGATTAGCAGGAAAATATCAATGGCTGCTGTAAATACATGGTGGTATCTTCAAAGTGGTTTCTCAGGAAGACAGAGATATGCAAGAAAGATCTAACAAGTAGGTACAGCCTAAGGATTGTGAAAAATAGTGTATTACCTCTTCACCAGTGACTCCTTTCACTGAGGTGTGACAGCTGGAAGGAAGGCCAGGATTGAAAAGAAGGACTGAGAGACTCGCACCTGTGTTTAGTAACAGGCTGTTTTCTTTTTCCTCTACAGTCATGATTACCCAGGGCTTCTCCGTGGAGATGACAGTCTGGCCAGAAGGAGAAGGCAGAGTATGCCCCAGGCCCCCTCATTCCTGTTAGACTAACTTGTAGGATGGGTCTGAGCTCTGAGGCTTCCATTTCAGAGGGCAGACCGATCTCCAGTGGTCACCTTTGCGTTCAGGGCATGGCCCAGGGGGATTCTTAGGGCAGTTCCTCTTGAGGTGGCTTGGCTTTTAACAGTGGTAGCAGGTGAACGAAGTCGTCAAGTTCTTCTTGGGGCCCTGAGAATCAGACTTAGGGTCTGTTTCTCTTAGTGTTAACAGCAAAAGCAGCTGCTTTTTCTCAGTCTCTGTTTTCTCTCCATGGCTGCCTCCTCATCACAGCTATGGAATACTGAGGAGGCAATTCTTACTAATGTCTCAAGTGAGCCATCTGGGGCAAAAGCCATTTTTTGTAGCTTTTTCTCTCCAGCCTCCCAGCACACTGGGACCCCACAACCACTTAGTGTCCTCTCCCCAAGCGTCAGCACAGGCAGCAGGAATCTTGGTGCAGACCTCTCCGGAGCTCCACATGTTCCTCCACCGCAGCCTGTACTGTCAGGGGAAGAATGGCTTCCAGTGGGTCTCCCCAGGTATTGCGCAAGGTCCTCCTTGTTTCCAGCTTCTGAATGACTCTCATGACTCTTGTCAACTAGACCTCTGAGTCTTCAGGTGTAGTCTGTATTCTCATGTTCACCTAGTCCTTGTTCAGCAGCTGCTCCTCGGCTGACTCTGGACCTTTCTGGTTCTCAACAGCAGTGTTAAGAGCGACCCGTTGTGTGGCATGTATTCCCAGGGGCTTCTCCATGTCTGGATGATTCACGCACTTCTCCAGGCAGGCCTCCGCGGCTGGTGCATGGCAGGCCAATTGTGTCATTGTTTCTCTGTGCCATGATAGTTCTCAATAGTGCAGTGGCAGCCGGCCTAAGGGCCGCCAGGTGACTTCCTGGGTGCAGGCAGCCCGCCTCCTGGGCACCTGTACTGCTAGGGTCCAGCCCAAAGGCCAACACTCCCCGCCACTCACCTTCCCAGGCTCTGTTGGTTTATTGAGAGGAACAGTTAATGCTAAATTTTTTGACCCATTTTTACATGCTTATTTCTAGTAATCTGAACAATGACTTTGAAGATAACAATATATGCAATATAACCACCATTGTTGGTTTCCTACTACCTTGTTTTGAAATTCTGTATCATTTTTAATTTTTTTTCTAAATTTATTTTCTTTAAGATAAAAAAAAAAGAAGCAGCAAGATAATATGTATATGCATGATCCACAAAAGACTTTAGGTTATAGATTACCAATTACAGTGTCAGTATCAAGAAGTAGAACAAAAAGTGGTGCCTCTTGAGACAATAAGAAAAGTACAGAAGAGGGCCACAGTAATACAATGTCAAGGATACCAAGAAAGAAGTTTGAAAGAGAGAGGGTATTCAGTTGTGTGACATGTTGCAAAAAAAGAAAAGAATTGGAAGGCTGAGAAAGTTTGATAATTTGAAAGTTCAGAGGGATCAGTGACTTTTGGGAATACTATTTCCATAAAATAGGGTACAAGTTTGACTGCTGGAAATAACTTTGTCATTTGCTAAGGAAGTAGAGTGACAGTGTGTATCTGTCACCAATTTGAAGAAGATGCTTGAGAAGGAAAAAGTATAGCTGTGTGTTAATTATAGAATGCCTTCTGAGAAATACATTGTTAGGTGTTTTTGCCCTTGTGTCAACATCATACTGTGATGACATAGACCTTGAAAGTATAACCTACTGCACACCAGGTGTCCATAACTGCTTGTTCAGTGCTAAAGAACCATACAGATAATGAAGTAGTAATCTTAGAACAAACATTAGGAATTACCTTATTCTGCACCTTTTCTCAAAAGTGTATAAGCTTCATTTTACAGATGGAACTGCATAAACTGAGACTTACAGCAGTGAAGTGATTTGTCCTGAGTCACCAGCCACTTAGATTATGGATCAGAAGGGTGAGACAGGATTTGTCTGAGTACTGTGGGTTTATCCCCCCTTCCTCCAGAATTGTGAATGGAAAGAGCAGCAGAATAGAACAGATGTGTTGAGATAGTGATATTTTATGTGTGTATTTAGGAAGAACATTTTAGGTACCACCAAGTGTTTGAGATAGGCTAAAAACCACATTGGCAAACAATACTCACTCCTATTCAAGTCTTTCTTAGCTTATTTGAGAGTAAGGAAAATGATAGTTGGGATGCTTTGGTTGGAGCATTTCGAAAGTGCCTCTTTGGAACCAGATAAAACTTCCTATAATATCACAGCAAAGCAGTTGATTTTATGCAGTAGGAATTTCACATTTTTCACCTACTGGTTTTCTCGAACTTCTGCCCCATAGGACAGCAAATTGAAGTACTTTTTGATTTTTTTTTTTCCTTCCGGTATCAGGAATCGAACTTATGACCTTGCACTTGCCAGGCAGGCGCTTTGCTGCTGAGCTAAATCCCCAGCCCCTTGAAGTACTTTTTAGTACATTATCATTTAATGTCAGACAGTGTGGCTGTTAATGTAGTTTTTATACCAAAGATGGCATGACAAGCAAATTTTCATCACGAAGACAAATGCATTAAATACTAACCCTTCGTTGCATCACTGATTACGAGGTTCTGCTCAGATTTCAGTTGCAATAACGAAAGACAGGTGTTTGTGTTTCCGTCACCCACTCCAATCAAACTTATTTGGGGGCTCCTTACAAAAATAGATTACCCATCAGTGTCATTCTAACAGTGGTCAGCAATAACTCTCAACAGTGATGTTTACTACATCCCTTTGCATAGAAACATCTTTTTAACTCCCCAGTAAATGGAGTCTATACTCTGGCACATCTTTTTAAGATGGTTCTGCTTTCTGAGATTGTGGTAGAGCACAACTTCGTAAATGTTGTTTTCTTTGCTTTTCATAAAATAGTAATAGATTTTGCTTGTAGATAGAAATCTGTGAACTTAGCTATAAGTCCTTGGTATTGAATAGACTAGGTAATGTAAATAAATCAATTTTCACAGCCGTACTGGTTGTTCTCTAGGATCCCTGTTTTGTCTCTGCATAAAAATTTCCTAGAAATCAGAATGAAATTCTGATTCAGAGACCTGGGGTAGGAGGGAGTTAGGTGGTGAGCTTGAGATTCTGCAGTCCTAGCAAATATCTATGTGCCACTACTTCTGGTCCCCAAACCACACTTTGACTACAAAAGTTCCAGGTGGAAAACAGCAGTTGATATGACCTTGTCCTCAAACACGAGGAGTGGCTGTAACAGTAACTAGAACAGTCTTTGGCAAATATTTTTTTTAAAGAGCCAGAAGATATTTTAATTAAGTTTTATAACCACAAGTCTATATTTCATATTCCTCATTTTCCTAATTATTTTTATAGTTTAAAAATAAACCATTTTAGCTCTGAGAGATACCCTGGACCTGAAACAAGAAGCTGAAGTCAGATCAGTGGACTTGTCAAGTTAGTCAGTGGCTTCCAGACCTGACATTGTTTAAGTCCCTTATTTTCTCAGCTCTCTGGGATGATTATGAGGTAACCATAAAAATTCCAATTGCAAGGAGATGAATAAGATTATTTGGAAGAAACTGAAAAAAAAACTTCCCATTTTGATGAACTCTATACAAAATGCAAACCTCTAAAATGTATTCACATTAGATAATAAAAGAGAGCCTGTGCAGAACTTCAGGATCAACCTAGGATTCATTCTGCAGTTCGTGTGGTGAACCTATACTATCAGTCAGTTCAGTATCCAGACATAGCAAAATTTATATCTGAATTCATTTCCACTGCTTACTAGCTGGGTAACTTTGGTCAAGTACCTTAACTTCTGTTTTTGTTTTTTTGTTTTTGTTTGAGACAGGGTCTCCGTATGTAGTTCATACTGGCCTTTGAACTCACTGCGTAGCCTGGGCTAGCCTCAAACTCACAGCGATCCTCCTGCCTCAGCCTCCCGAGTGCTGGGATTACAGGCGTACGCCACCACACCCAGCGTGCCATCAGCTAAAGAGATTTCTGTAGGCCAAAAAGAGGGTGTATGATAAAATGTCTTCCCAGCTTGTTTATCAATAACTGTTCCCATCACTTATTTTGAGAAATAATTATAAACAGCTTTGCCTCTGACTTGCTTATGCAGTTTCATTTCATTGTTGGATGATGAATGAATCAAATGAAAACTTTCATCTCCATGTCAGTACATCTGAGTATTTCTGGTTAAGGTGATAGCATCAGCAGTGTTGTCTTATTTAAGACAGATTTATAGAAATTATTGAAAGAAATTTTAATGGGACTGGGAATTTAGCTCAGCAGCACAGCACCTGCCTGGCAAGTGCAAGGTCATGAGTTCAATTCCCGGTACTGGAAAAAAACAAAAAACAAAAAAATTTAAAGTTAAGGTACTTAATAACTATAACTGTTTTTATCCTTTAGAATTTTGGGGGCTGGATAAAATGTTTTTTAAAGTTTAAGAATTGTTATTTTTATTGTTTAATAAAAGGGACTAATTACTCAAAGCAAGAATTTCTAATCTTAAAAATCAGAAGGTACTGCTCCTAAATACTATTTATTATATTTCAAATACATAGTTGCATTTTTGTGATGTCAGTTCTTTTGTGCGTTTAATTTTTAAAAGTGTACCATGAAATAACTTGTCATGTAAATCTATGGTTTTAATTTTTTTAAAAATCTCTTTTAGCTCTTAGTGAAGCATGGAGGGGACTTGTTTGCTGAGAATGAAAATAAAGATACTCCTTGTGATTGTGCTGAAAAACAACACCACAAAGATTTGGCCCTCAATCTGGAATCTCAGATGGTTTTTTCACGGGATCCCGAGGCTGAAGAAATAGAAGCTGAATATGCTGCATTAGACAAACGGGAGGTAAAACATTTTTTAACTCAAAAATTGTATGTAATAATTTTAGATTTTAGATTATAATTTATGTGTTTTCCCTTAAACTCAACTCTGCGTGGTCATCTTTGCAATATGCTGAATATCCTATCATCTTCATAGCAATAGGTATAAAAATGCATCCAGAAAACCTAGAGGGTAGGGGGCTTTTCTCCGACACATGTGAATATCTTTACTTACAAGAAGAGAGATGCTAACGGAAAGTCCTATCCACTCTGTGCCCCCAAAGCACCGCTCTTCCCATTCAGTCTCTCTCTCTCTGCCACATTGCTCTCATCAACAAACGTGCTTTAGTAAATGTCATCAGGAAAGCAGAGCATAAAGCAAACTGACCGCTCTCCACCACTTCCAGCCCCCTTTTGTTGCAGCCCCCTATCTGTCATCTTCATGAGTGAAACATAATGTAAGAGTCATCTATAAATACCAAATTCGTTACTTTTTGTTCATGCTTCACTGCATTCTGACTTTCTTCCCTTCTGCTGTGGTGGAACTGCATTTCTCATGGAATCATGTGTTTGCCAGTGCAGTAGGTACTTTTCTTTCCCCATCTAGAATTCCTCAGCAGCACTTCAACCCGCTGACCACACCTTCCTTAATGAAACACTTCCTTAGCTTCGGGGACAATACTCCCTTTTGGTTTCTCTGTCTCACTGAACATTACTTCTATCTACATAGCTCCTTCAGTGTAAATGTGAGAGCCCTTTGTGACTTATCTTCTCAACCATAACATCTAAACAGTTAGGGAATCCTGTTAATTTTACTACACAACCATAACCTAAATCCTTTATCCTTCCCAGTCTCTACTCCTACCCTTCAGGCTGTCACCATGCTCACTTTCATCTGAGTTACTGTCATAGTTTCCTTATTGACCTCCTCCCTTCCATTGAGGTCCTTTTGGAGTCCATTTTGTACACAGAAATCAGAGTTTGTTTTTTGTGGTTTTTTTCCAGTACTAGGACTCGAACTCATGACCTTGTGCTTGCCAGGCAGGCGCTATGCCGCTGAGCTAAATCCCCAGCCCCCAGAGTCATATTTTTAAAGTTAAATTACATCATATCATTTAAATCAGTTAGTGATTGTATTGTACATTTTCTGTTACTATAACGAAATACCTGAGGTAAGCTAACTTTTTAAGTTTTGTAGTTTTAGAGGCTGAAAATCCAATCAGCACGCACTGTAGAAGGCTCCATGACAGATAGTGGCAGATGTACACAAAGCAGTATCCTAACACAGGAAGCCAATGGGAAATTGGGATCTCATGGTCCCTTCTTTGGACATTCTCTAATTGATCTACTGAGCTCCCACTAAGCTCTACCTCTTAGAGGTTCCACACCATCATCACCACAATGAGGACCAAGCTTCCCCCACATAACCTTTGGGGGACACATTTAAATTGCCCACACTGTTAAAGAAGTGGCTTTTCATTGTGCTTAGAATAAAATCCAGACTATTTGCTCATGTGATCTGACTACTACCTGCCTCTCCAGCATCATCTTAAAACTTTTTTTCCTGCACACTTTATTCAAATCATAATACTTAGATTATACCAAGACATTTATACTGGTTCCTGAGTTCAAAATCTTCTCCCATTGATTTTTCTTTAGGCTCAGAGACAATTTTGGGTTGTCCTTTCTAAAATCCTCCCAGTCTATGGCCTTATCACCCTGAATGCACCTGATCTCATCTAAAATCCTTCCATTATTCTTTATATAATATCTTTTTATGTCATTTATGTAATGTATGTAATGTATCTTTTTATGTAATGTATGTAATGTATGTAATGTATGTATTTTTATGTAATTTATATAATATCTTTTTATGTCATTTTTTTTAATTCTATCTTTTTTTTCCCCAGTATTGGAAATTGAACCCAGGAGCTTCACAATGAACTGCATCCCTAGCCCCATTTCGTGACAGAGTCTCTCTAAGTTCCCCAGGCAAGGTTTGAACTTGCAACCCTCAAACCTCAGCCTCCCAAACTGCTGGGATTTCATGTGTGTGCTGCCACACCCATGATTCTTTTTAAGTCATTCCTATTATTTTTGATTTACAGATCAAAATTGTATACACTTAGGACTTAAAAATGGTGTTGTGGTATATGTATACAATGTGGGATGATTAAGTCAAACCAGCTAACAGCCATCATCTCACTGGTCCATCTTTTTTTCTTCTTCTTTTTCGTTGTTTGTTTTTTGAACACAACACTTTGTGCATGCTAAGCACATGTTTTATCACTGAACTGTACCCCCAGTTCTCATTTTTATCATGTGCTGTAATTATTTTGAATTATTTTGTTAATGTATTTGTTTATTGCTTTCCTCTCCTATTAGACTGTCAGCTCCATTAACTGTAGAGCCACATCTGCCTTTTCCAACAGAGTATTTTCAGTGACTAGCACACTGCTTGAACAAAGTATTCATAGATTTTTTTAAAGAAATTATAACAAAATACATTTTTTCCTCCCAAAATGATTTTGATTCCTGATCAGTGTTGATTCTGAAAGAAATTATACAACTATTGGTTTTCATGTGTATTATCTACTTCATATTATTTTTCCATGAATTCCTAACAGTTTTTGAGCTTTTATATTCCCTACAGTGACCAAAACGCCTGAATTTCTTGGAATTAAAATTTATATTTCTTTACCTTTTTTATTTTCTGTATTTACTTTATTTTATAGATCTATTTACTGAATTTAAGACCAAGCCTGTGTCATCACCAGACTCCTCAGATTCTTCTTTCTCTGCTTTCATTTTCTTCTTCTTAGCTGGGGCAGCAGCATCGGAGGGGCCAGGGTCTCCGCATGTGCAGCACCAGCTGCCTGGGCAGGTCCACCAGCCCCTACACTGCAGACGGCTCCCAATGTTGACGCTGGCCAGGGCCTTTGCAAAAAAACCAAAAAGATTCTACACTGATTTTAACCACCTTAATGAGGGTGTTGATCTTATCCTCCGTGAAGGTGACCTCATCGTCCTGCAGGATGCAGGCAAGCTTGGAGAGGGAGGCCAAGGTGCGGGCAGCTGGGCATGGTGCTGGTCCCTGCAGATGTGGTGAGGGCCTCATCGTGGCTTAGTTCCTTCAGAAGAATCGAAACCCTTGGTGGCAGTTGAGGAAAGGGACCGATTAGTTTCTTATTCCATCAGACCTTGGCAATCATGTATCTGTTGCATTTTTAATGGAAAAGTCATCATGTCATACACTGAGTTCTACAAGATACCTTTTCAATTTAATAATGTTTGGTAAACATCTTCCTGAAGTCATAATATATAATCTACACCTTTTAACCATTTATTTATTAATGAACATTTAAGCAGTTTAGATATTTTTATCTTTACAGCCTAAGCTAAGTCTTTGGGTCAGTTAGTGATCTGGAGAGTACAGCACATGATCTCTGGCACTTTCAGAGAGATACATCCTGTATCTTCTTAACACATCTTAATTTTTTTCTTTCTTCCAAATGATTAGTTTACTAGTTCACCTCCATCATTCAACAGAACTCTTTTTTTTTTTTTTTGGTACTGGGAATTGAACTCAGGACTTGGTGCTTGCCAGGCAGGCACACCACTGAGCTATATCCCCAGCCCTTCAATAGAACTCTTGAGTGTTCTTCCAGACACTGTTCTTAGTGTACATAGGAAGCAGTGAGGAGCAAAGATAAGCACCTGCCCTCTCGCATTTTTATATTCTAGCAAGGGAAAAAGATGCGTACATGTCAGTTTAAGAAGTAAATTATCACACAATTTCACAGAATAATAACTCCTTCTAAAGAAATAAAAAAAGTGATGGCTGGGAAGAGTTCAATTAAAAAGCTCTCTAAGGAAAGAACAGGAAAACCTGTGAGAATTAGACTTCTGTACAAGTAGAAATATATGTCTGCATCTAAGTTAATGAAATAAAAAGTGATCAGTACACTGCCATTAAAGCCCTTTTTAAGAATCCTCCCTTCCCCAGTCTGTAACTCAGAAAGGCCCAAGGTTCTTGACTGGCAGGGAACCCACATGTTGGACATTGCCTTCACTGGCTTCTTTCTCCCTCCCTTCTTTTCTCCTTCCCTCTCTCTCTTTCCTTCATTCTTCCCTTTCTTCCTTCCTTCCTCTCTCTCCCCCACCACCCTTTTTAAATGAATGTGTTTCACCTATATAGTTGATGGGAGCTATTTCATGTGAAAAAAATAACAAAAACAAATACTTCTTTTGTAATTGCTTTATGTCAAATTCCTGGTGAAGTAGTTTTTGGAAATACCTGTCATTTTTTACCTGAATCAAAATAGTAAACTTTGTGTGTTCGGCTGTTTCTCATTTCTTGAGTAGTCTTGTGGAAGTAGTGCTGTGCACTGACAAAGAAAAGGTACTTTTGTTCCTTCGTTCTTTTTAATTTAGTTTCCGTTTTCTTTGTATCAGTACTGACTTCTTTGAAGGTTATTGCTAGTTTGTATTTCATCTGAAAATAGAAGCGTTTATCTTTGCAGCAGGAAAGAGAAAGGCACCTTCATTTTAATCCTTCCTAAAGAAGAGAGCTAATGCCCACTTGGGACTGAGCAATGAATTGAAATGCTTCACATGACCTAATTGCAGTTCTGTGGCACTTTCAGAGTGAATGTGTTTGTTACATGTTCATGAAGGCAGTGACTTCTCTTTGTCTTTTAAGAACTGTTTTTCTTCCATTGTTACCTATTTCAGTTTTAAACTGCATGCTTTGAAAAAAACTTAACCTATGCAGGTTGCTTTTATATTTTCCTTTCTTAGTATATCTAAAATTTTAAAATCTTGCAGTTCAGAGATAATGTATTGAAACATTTTAAAATTTTAGATATCTACTGATCTCTAGATAATTAGAGATCAGTAGTGCAATAACTACCGATAACACTATCTAAGATAATACTAATCTATCATAATTAAATTCAGTTTTCTCTCCACTTAGTTGGCTCATGAGTGAGGTAGTAGGATGACTAATCTGAAAAAGAACATTTAGGAATTAAGTCCTAGAAATATACAGTTGCTACCATGAGAAATATCAAGAAATAATCTTATGGAAAAGTACGTGGAATCTCATGTTTGACTTGGAATACATTTTCCAGAAGTAACACAGTACATTTTCAAGAAGCAGTGTGATACCTAGTGTATAACTTTTGTAGTGGAGTACCTCAGGTTTACCCATTAAGGTATTTACTGTTTTGAAGCAGAGTGTTTCATAATTAGTTTAAAAGCAAATTGTTCTTGATGGTTTGGGGTTTTTCTAAGGGTAAACTAGGTTTAAATTACAGTTTTCCTTTTTATTTAATGGCATCTCTACACAGAATAGTTTGGGTTAATTTTCCATGTGTTCCTAGTTGTCTTAGTTACTTTTCTCATTGCTGAAACAAAATACCTGACCCCCAAAGCTAAAGGAAGAAAGGTTTATTTAGCTTACAGTTTGTAGAGGTTTCAGTTCACAATCGGCTGACTCCAAGGCAGGCTAGCGTGGCAGAGGGGCAATCATTCATGGAGGCGGAAGACAGCAAAAGCAGTGAGAGAGAGGGAGACAGGCCTCTTTCTGTCCCTTATATTGTATCGAGTCTGTTCACTCTAAAGTGGGTGTACCACTAACACTCTTAATCCCAGCATTGGACTGTGAATGAATCACAAACTCTAGATTCAGCCCCTTCTGAAAAGCCTGTTGCCCATGACTGTATGAGGCTTTGGGAGGACACAAACCGTAACACTCGTTATGTTCATGGGATACCTGTATCTGTAGACATGGCAGGATAGCTGAATAGGAGCACAGGTGAAATAAACTGTTAATGCCATGTGTTAAAAGATTGGGTGATGTTAGTGGCGTAATAACAAGTTCTCTGACCTGACATAGCATCACACACAACACACACACATGCAAATTAGTATATGCATGTATGTCAAGCACAGGTTGAAATAGTGGGGCATTTATATAGTCATAGTCTTATAAAAGTAGACTGGATCCCTTGGGGATATTTGGGGAGAAAGTAACTATTAATTTTGCTCTACTCCTTTGCTTAAGAAATGTCCAGTTTTGAGCACCTGTAGTATGGACTGATTTTGTTCTGTTCGTTGAGACTTTTAACAACTGGTTCATGAAAGAAGAGGTGGGCTCAGTGTTAAAAGCAGAGTAAATACCTTTTTAGTCTGGATACCTGCCCTGCTTAGATTTTTTAAAAAGTAAAAGCATGGATGGCCAATTCTACTGCATGTAAACAAAACTTTTTTATACTAACGTATTACTGTATCAGTCCAGGTTTATTTTACCCTCACTTTTTTTCTTTTCTTTTTTATGGGGGGGTGTCAGGAATTGAACTCAGGACCTCATGCTTGCCAGGCAGGCGCTATGCGCATACTCTGAGCTGTATCCCTGGCCCCTCAGTCCAGGTTTAGAACCTTGTGTTGGCTGGTTCCAGATAGTTTCATTTCACTTATAAACTGTATCTCTTTTACTGATAATTGTAATTTTCAAATGTGTAATATGTTCACAGATGTGCCCTACATTCAGTCTGCCTTGTTCCTATTTTGATTTTTGTTGAGTCTCCTGCCTGCTTCCCAGGGCCCATCTACAATTGAAAGCAGAGACATCCTTGAGCTTTAAATCATTGGAGAAACTGGAAAATGCAGCATACCACATACTGAAGTGAAAAGTCCGTGCTTTTGTATTTTTTTAAATAGAAATTTTCAAACAGTTAAAAACTATGTTTAACATAAGTCTGCACCATAATTTTTAAAGGTATAGCAATACAGACTGATTCTGTAGATTATTGCTGCTCCTAACATTTTAACATCCTAAGTGACTTTTCTCTTACTTTTAATTTTTTCTGTAAAACACAGTTTATAAAAAGAGAGAAAATAACATATTTAGATGTTTAGTTTTGTACAACTTGTGTAGGATTGTCTTCTGTTTTGCCCTTTGCATATTTAATATCATTGTGACATTACAGATTTTATATCCAGCAAGGTTTTTAAAACTCTTCATCACACTTAGGAGTTTTTATATACTCACCATGGAAATGATTTTGCACAACTGCTGACTATTCTAACATGCGTGTCCTATAACTGCCTGACTGTATATTTGAGTTATTTGCATTTTTCACCTTTACACATAGCACCACAACCAACCGTTTCACCCATATTTGTGATTATATCTTGGAGTAGATGCCTACAGTAAAATTAATAAGTTAAAATATGAATTTTTAAATGCTTATAATACATTATATAATAACACTTGCTAAGTGATATACTGATTTTTATTTTTTTTTTGCTTTTTCTTCGGTACCGGGAACCAAACTCACGACCTTGTGCTTGCCAGGCAGGCGCTTTTGCCGCTGAGCTAAATCCCCAGACCCTGATTTTTATTTTTACCTAGAGAGTATGTGAGGACCAGCTTACTGCACCTTTACTGACATTAAGTATTGCCTCTTTTGCCATACTTGGGTAATTTGCTAGATAAAGAGTTTATATCTTTAAACATAAACATAATGTTTATGTTTTGTAACTTTATTTTTTAAATTTACTGAATATTACAATTTTCTATATTGTTAAAAGTAGTATACCAGTTTCTTTTAATTATTGGCAGATTTTTATATGGTCAGCTTCTGTCAGTATTTTCTTTCGTGAAAGTATTCATTCATTTCTTATGTGTTCATACCAGAAGATTCTAAGGGTCAGCAAGTTAATCCTTTTGAGTCAGAGAATTTGGTGAATAGTTCTAGTCATATGGAGTGAAGTAAGAATGGATGGAATGATTGCCATAATACTAACAAATCTAATTCCAAATAGCTATAAATCATCTAGTAAGTATTTTGGAGTTTCTTCTGATTCTTACATTGTGATATGATCTTTAGTTCTATGTTTACTGCAGCAGGCTGGTTACCATTTGATAGTTCACTGGCTAAAATTGAGCCTAAATGAAGACACATATATTCACTCACAGTTGATTTGTAAAAAGATAAAACAGACTGGATGAAAATTCATGAGAACCTTAATAATAATTATCATTCAGTGGTATGATTATAAATTTTTATTTCTAATGCTTTTTATATTATTTCTGTTTTCAAAACTGTAAAAAAAAGTATTGTGGGGGGATTTTTAAAAATGTATTGTAAGGTCCAGTGGTCTTGCCCTTATAGTAAAATGATTTTCTTTTCAGAATGAGGTGCAGGGGCTTCAGCATCTGCTTTCCTTCTGGAAACGATGTGTGAAAGAGTAATAGTTTGAAGTCCGCAGTAGAAGTGCCTGTGGAAGCCTTTCCAACTTTCCACAGCCCAGCTGAAACTGGAAAATTAAATAAATGATAATCATATACATTTGTTTATACTCTAGATATTTTGGATACTTCCTAAGAGTGTGATAACCATTTTAACTTCATTTATTTCTTTTCAAAGCCCTATGAAGGACTAAGACCTCAAGATCTGCGTCGATTGAAAGATATGCTTATTGTGGAAACAGCAGACATGCTTCAGGCTCCTCTCTTTACTGCTGAAGCTTTACTTCGAGCTCATGGTAATGAAAGAAATGTCCTATATTTTTGATACCCAGGTACCTTTTGAAACTTTTCAGAGTTCAGAAGTGACTATTTTTGTATTTTAGTGTAAGATGAAATGTTTTTGCCCAGAATTTTTTTGTGCAATGGTTACTGCAGCACTCATCATCCTCATAGCACCTTTTAAGTCTGTGGAGAGCCGGGCGTGGTGGCGCACGCCTGTAATCCCAGCACTTGGAAGGCTGAGGCAGGAGGATCACTGTGAGTTTGAGACCAGCCTGGGCTACAAAGTGAGCTCAAGGCCAGCCTGAACTGCATAGTGAGACCCTGTCTCAAGAAGACCAAAAAAACAAAACAAAAAAGTCTGTGGAGAGCCAGTGAAGGGTTTTCAACATGCTTAGATTGGCATTTTAAAAGAAAAATATTTTGACAAATAAAATACCTCCAAATCAAAAAAATTTTTTTAAAATTTTTAAAAATCGAACTCCTAAATCAACTTACAACCTCATTTTAGAAATGTGTCTGGTTTTAATATGGTGGGTATTGGAATCCATAGTCCTAGTCCTGATTTTAACAGTAATTTTTGCTGAATTTCTTCACTTATAAAAATTGTAGTAGTTCATTTAAATAGCCAAGAATTGTGTTGTTAGTTTTGTCAATCATGTTAATTTTGTGTGATATCTGTTTCTCACTCTGAAGTATAAGAAGCGAAATTAAAGGCAATTCTGTCCCTTTTAAGGGTTCTTCTCCTTTTTTTTTTCTTTTCTTTTCAGACATAATCACCTTATGGGTTTGACTTTTTTTTTTGGTACCGAGAATCGAATTCGGGACCTTGCACTTGCCAGGCAGGCACCTGTGCCACTGAGCTATATCCCTGGCCCCGCATAATCACCTTATGGAAGTTTTCCTAAGTACTCATCTGGGGGTATAAATTCCCTATGATTAAGACACCTTTCCTGCAAGTTGTCACATGCTGGGTTGGACCTTGTCATTGCACTGTCAATATTGTACATTGCAGGGGGGAGGGCTGGTTTTAAAGAATAGTATTTTCTAATTTTGAAATATTTTTACAAAGAGAAAGTGGTAACTGCTAAATTTAAAAAATAAAAACAAAAATACACTAAAAGCAAAAAAATGGTCTTTGGGTATTCCAGTTATTTTAAGGCTCTAGCTGTTTAAGTAGAAATCTTTATCTTCTATGCTAAAGTAGATCACCACATTCCAAAATGTTTGCATAATCTGATCACAAGAAAATTTACAGTTTCATATTTCATCATCCATTGATCAGCACTGTCAATAATTCATTATAAAAATAGCAGGATCACTACCTACAAAATCGATATTCTTGTGGTTTTCCAATTGGCATTCTTTTTCTACTGTATATATCAGTAGCTCTTAAATTTTAATACAAAAAGAATAGGCTGGGAAAGTGAACATAGGTTTCTTTTTTTTAGTTCTTTTTTATTTTGAAGAAACAAAAAAAGTAATGAAAACGATACACAATTTCAAAACAAGGTGATAGGAAATTAACAATAGTTATTATATTGCATATTGTTATCTTCAGAGTAGTTGCTCAGATTACCAGGTAGAGGTATGCAAAATCGATCAAGCCATATAAGCACTAATGGATCCTTTTAGTGAACTAATAAAAATTAATAGTACAGTTATCTTAGCAATCTGGTGTATATATACATATATCTTTTTTTCCCCTTCTTTTCTCCTTTACCCCATCCCACGTGTTCTTTTCTTTTGATCAGTTTCTTTCTCTTTCATTATATATATTGTACCTTTTGGATCTTATTTACTCTTTCAGTTTCTTGTACCAGGGAGACAATACAGTGTTTGCACATGTGAGTCTGATTTATTTCACTTATGAGTATGGTCTCTAGTTGCATCCACTTATCTATAAAAGCCCTAAGTTTATCTTTCTTTATAGCTGAATAGTACTCCATTGTATAAAAATACCACATCTTTTTTATCCATTTCTCGGTTGATGGACATTTGGATTGTTTCCAAGATTTAGCTGTGACAAATTGTGCTGCTATAAAGGCTAACCCCAGAGTCTTAAGTCACTAGATACAGGGATAGGCATAAACCTCGCCTATAAAAAGGCCTATTAAGTGGACTATTCCCTGAGAAACATTGCTAGGCACATTTATCTATAGAAACCAGTAATTTCAATGGGCACCTAAACAACAGAGACAATACTGCTAATTGACTTTAATCAAATATTCTACACTATATTTCTGCATGCCTGTTTACCATTTTCTCCTCAGCCTAAAAATGTCTACAGTTGAATTCATTTCTCCCACTGTTTTGATGACTGTACACCAGCGTTCACCTAGTTGCTTGAGACAGACACTCAGAAGTTACTTTACTCCTGCATCTCTGTTATATCTGTGGCACCTGTCCCCTCATTTCTTTTCCCATATATCAGCCTCCACCCACCTTCCGTTTCTGTCCCACTGCCACCAAGTTAAATTCAGGCTTTCATTATTTTTCGTCTAAAGTGTAGTGCTCTGAGTCCTGTGCTCCAGTTTTGCTGTTCTTTTACACAGTAGTTCCTTTGCTATTAGTGGTATTTTAAAATGCACTCTGGGCATTGTCACTCCCTGTTGAAAATCCTTCAGTGGCTCTCCACAGACTTAAATTTTTAGTAGGCTTTATGGCACAGGCTTCTTTGCCTGGGCTGTTAGTCTTGTCAGTTCTTTACCTTCCCCTCTCCAACTTATCCTTAAATATTTCCACCTCTTCTAGGAAATGTTTTCTGAGTATGCCTTCCCAAGTATCCTTCCTGTCTATTCCCATGATATCTCCTTCATATATTTTACTGAAATCTTGATTTTCCACTTTTATTAACTTGGAAGGTGTTTGAGGCCTGCTTTCATATTTTTTTTCACAGTACCTATCTCTCAGAAAACAGTTGTGGAGTAAATAAATAATGTACCTGAAGTATTATTTATGTGTACTTTTAAATCAACACTTACTGTTACAAAATTATATTTCTTCCTCTATAAATTTTGAAGTAAATCCTTGCTCAAAAAAATATAATTTAGAATTCAGAATAGCTTTCAAAATCATATCATTTAAAGACAAGATACTTTCTTTTTAGCTAATAACAATGCTTAACAATTACAATTTTAAAAAATACTTGTGCAAAAGCACAAACTACCTTAGGGTAAAATTTCTAGCACTAGCAGGCGTACTTTGTCCTTTACGTCACCTATCAATGCACAGTGTGTTTTTAAATGTGCTGTGGAGCTGACCAAAATATGGAAGTTACTCATGAGCAGGGAGATGCAGCACTGCACTTGCACACTCGTCTTCCCTTACTTGCAGTTTCAGTTTCCATGTTCGCATTTATTTATGGTCAACTGTGGCCAAAATACTAAGTGGAAAGTTCCAGAGGTCATTTGTAAGTTTTAAATGGCGCACCGTTTTCAGTAGCCACGTGCAATCTCACATCATCCTGTCCAGTATATGAATCACCCCTTTGTCCAGTGTAGCCACAGCATATGTGTTACTCGCCTGTTAGTCGCTTACTAGCCATTTCCGCTCTCAGATTGATTGTACCAATGTTGCAGTGCTGTTTCTGTGTAACCATTGCTTTATTCGGTAATGGCCCCCAAAACACAAAGAGTAGTGATGCTGGCAATTTTATTGTAGTATGTTTTAACTGCTTTATTATATTGTTGTTACTAATTTATAAATTTATTTTAATCATAGGTATATAAGCATAGGAAAAAAAACAGCAAAAAGATGGTTTAGTACTGTCCACAGTTTTCACCATCCAGTGAAGGTGTGTAATGGTTGGCATATATCCCTATGGATGAGAGGAAGCTACTGTACTGGCTAGCATCACCTGATGGCTGAGACAAAATATGAGCTCAAACACAGTAAACATTGAATTATGTGACAGTCCAAAAAATTTCCCTTTTGAGTAGGTGCGCTGGGGGATCTTCTCCACACAGTAACTCAAAGACCCTGACTGAGAAATTGCCATCTTTAACAAAGTGGCTTCCAGGTTTTTCCTGGTGATTATCTCTATTTTAGCAAACTAGTCTGAAAGGGAAAATATGGAAGAATAAATTCAGAAAGTTTTTTCAGCCACTCTTGGAAATGGCATACATCACTTACATGCATATTCTGTTGTTCAGTCACATAGCCACACCTAGCTACAAGCAACAGTTCTAACCTACAAAATTATTATGAACAGTTAACCTCTTCGCCATAGGTATCCATATTCAGCTAAATAATTTAATGCATTGTACCTTGTAAATTACAGTATAATGTGGAATCTAACACTAACTTTATCATTAATTTCACTATAATTAAGAGGAACACTTTCATTCCTATTTTTTTACACGTTAAATAACTAACTTCCTTTTTACCTCAATAGTTCCAGAAATTTTTTATGTAATAGGAATAAATTCTAGCAAGGTGAAGTTAATTGAATTGTTTTACTTGTCATTTGTTATTCTGTGATAATTTTTTGATAAGCTACTAAAACATGGTTTCTATATTTCCCTAATTGTGGAACAAAATATAGGCTAATGTTAATTTTCAGATGAACATTCTTTTATATTGTTTAGTTAATATCAGGGATATTTGATAACCAGATAACAGTTATAGAAATAAATGATGTTAATGAGTAAATCAGACAATGCCCAGAGCTGTTTACTGTAATTTCTCTGAAAGCCCATATAAGCTGTGTTTTAGAGCTATTAAACTGGAAAATTTGCAGATTATATCCCTGGTAACATTCAGCTTTACACTGGAAAATAGCTTTGAGTATACTAGTTGTCAAATGTAGTTCCAAGGTAATTAAATTGGTCTAAATTAAGCAGAAGGCAGAAATATTTGGCAATTTTTACTAAATAGTAATTGAATTTTAAGGAGGACTGTGTTTAGAATACAAAGTTCATTCTCTTGAGTTTTCCCCAGTAATAAAAGTAATTTATGTAATTATGTAATTGAATGCTACCTAATGAGAAACTAAATAAAATTTACCAAACATGAA